TGAGAGTGAATCTACCGGAGAAAAACAGACCGCCGCCAATCATCATAGCACCTCCGATAGCCCAGGCAGCGCTGAAAAATATACTGATCGAGAATAATATAACATTATTCTCTATCAATTCATCATCAAAAGAAACTCGGCTGTATGTCAACTCCGAGAATGACCACTTTCAAGCCACTTTACTGTTGCGCCAGGACAATAGGGTACAATTCCACAGTTTTGCTCCCAGAGGCACTAAGCGATCTCGAAAATATGTGCTTCACGGATTCGATATTGATTTCCCCGTCGAGGAGATAGTCGAGGAGTTAAAAACCAGATTACCAGGATTCAGACTCGCCCGAAGACTCACAAAGAGATACAACCCGAATGAACCACCAAAACCTATCGAGCTGATCCAGATAATTACAGACGACTCGGTCAAGCTGACAGACATTGCTAAACTTTATCATATATCGCAGTGTAAATTTCGTGTGAGCATCTTTAAAGAAGATGGGGTCCCAGCACAGTGCCGAAATTGTCAAGAATACGGACACACTATGAAATATTGTGGCCGAACATGTGCGTGCCCCTGGTGTGGAGGTGTCCATACCCTTGAACAGTGCCCGAAGACAGTAACTCCCTGGTGTAAAAACTGTAAAGGTGCCCACCCCACCTCCTCCAAAGAATGCTTGAAGAGACAGGAGTTGGTGAAGAAAATTAGGGAAATCACCAAAGGAACACCGACGAAAACGAATACCAGCAAACAGAGTAAGTGGGTCCAGGAGGGCCTGGCATACAGCACAGCAAGCGGAGGAGCGCCGGTCCAATCAGAAGAAACCTCTCCCCACCACCAGTCTCATCCCCACCACCAGCACGCCACCCAGTTCAAGGAACAGACTGCACCAACGCAATCGCCTCAGCCTTCAACAAGTACCGATGCCTCCCTGACGTCTCTAGTGATGACGATGCTGACAAGAATGGATAAGCTGATGGATATAGTTGCCCGCATGCTAGATGCTATGACGAAGAAGCATCATGATTAATCATCTCGTCATGAATTTCAACACCAGAGGCCTCTTCCAGAAGCAGGCTGAAATCGAGCTCCTTCTTCAGCAGCATAGACCTTCAGTGGTGGCGTTGACAGACACCATGCTTCACACCTCGACTCGTCCATACTTCCAGGGGTACACTATATACCGAGAGGTGTGTGCACCAGGGTCTCGAGAGGGAGTAGCCATCCTGGTCAGAAAAGATGTACCTTCGAGATCCGTCCCGAACCCAGTGGAACCAACCGAGGGAACTCACTTACTCACAGTTGACGTGCGACTTAAGAGTCGGTTCACATTCACTTGTGTCTATAGGAGACCCAGGGCTGGACTGACATCTGTTAAGCTGCTGCTACAACATGCCCAGGTGACGGGTCGGCATGTAGTCCTTGGGGACTTCAATGCTCGACACACTTCCTGGCTGTGTGGTAGCGACAATCCACTGGGGAAGTACATTACCAAGACTAGGTTGGCCGTCTTTCACCCAGGTGTACACACTTTCCGGCATTCAGCCCGACCTGATTGGACATCAACGCTGGACCTGCTATTAACCAGGGATCTGCACATCATTACGGATTGCCAAGCGCTTCCGTATGGACCGTCGGATCACCGGCCTGTGCTCTACACGATCGAGGGCACACCCGCCAAACCACCGGCGAGTAAATACTTACTCCACAAGGCCGACTGGAAAGGATACAGGTCTAGCGTTGAATCCACTTTACCGGCGGTAACGCCGTGCCAGACAGTAGAAGAGGTAAACGAGGCGGTGGATGTCATCACCACCACTATCCAGGATTCAGCCAACCTGAACATCCCTAGGAGTTTAGGAGTTTATCATAAAATTTCTACCTCGATTGTCTACCTCGGCGTCACGCTAGATAGACATTTGACCTTCTCCAATCACGTTAGGCAGAGGATCAAGCTGGCACGAAAGAAGTCGCACCGGCTCTACCACCTACTGACGTCGCCGCAGCTCTCGCTGAGACTCAAGCTCCAAATTTATAAAGCTGTTATAAGACCAACACTGCTCCACGGGGCCCCTCTCCTGCGATACCTATATAAATCCACGCTTACGAGTCTACAGGGCTTCCAGAACTCTATCCTTCGGCGAATTGTCCGTGGCACCACCCTACAAAGGGCTAAGAATCAAACAATACGCGAGGAGCTCCAGCTCCCCTCGGTACCTGAGTTCATAGGCCGGAGGCACATCAAATTTTTTGATGGGCTGAAGGCCTGTGCAAACCCACTGTTCAATGAGATCTCACCACCACCCAGACCTGGGAGGTGGCAAGGTAAACTCCCTTTGGTGGACATACTCGCCGAAGGATGTGGTCTGGTCTCTGCGGTCCAAACTCATTAATTTGTATATATTGTAAATAATAAAACATTAGCAGAACGGTCCTTCCCCGTTCAATGTCAAAGTCACAAGGCCTTCTGCCACATATGTAACCTTCAGCTATCCCCAATCCTTAAAATGCCCTCGGGCAGTGGAAGGAATTTATTACATGTTTATATTGTATTATTGTATACTATATATGTAATTGTTTCAATAAACTTTTTGGAGGGTAAGAAAAAAAAAAAAAAAAAAAAAAAAAAAAAAAAAAAAAAAAAAAAAAAACATTGCAAAGTTTACTAAAATGGAATTAAGAGATGTCTGTCATAGGCAGGTCAAAAATTGTTTCACTAATTGTAAGTAGATACCATTGAAATATCACAAAGGGAAAATTCATCAAATACTTCAATAATTTAATTTTCTATAAGATTACATGATGATTTTTCGGAATAAACGGACGATAGATATCTAATTATTTAAATATAATATCAGATCTATAGTTAATACTCTATAGTAAATACATCTGAGATTTTAAACATGCTCATGAAATATTTTTATATTTCACTTCTTCTTTCACACGAGTACAATGAAATAGTATTTTAAACAATGGCATTAGCTTGATTCGGTGGATTTTAAGTACTTTTTTTTCAATCTTAGAAAAACATTTAAAAGTTTACATATAGTAAGAAAATTTCACTTAATTTCCTTGAAAACATTTGATTTACATTAAATAATATCAGTTTCGCAGCTCTCCGTTACCTTTTACAACTTTCTATATTAGATATTGTTTTTTCTAGAAATTGCCTCTTTCCAACGATATATTATACGTATACCATCTGACAAGTATTTCCGAAGATTTATTCACCTGGAAAATCATTTTTATTTTTTTCTCCTTTATCCAATTATCAAATTCTTTCAAAAGTTATATTTAGCACTTTTTCGTAACTTTTAATAATGTGAGATGATTAATTATTTAAAATAAACCATATTAAAGGTACTTTAGAGGAAGACGTATAAGAACATTGGTCATTTAAGCCCTGTAAAGTTACATAAATGGGGATAAAACTTAATTGATATTAAAGACCAGTTCATTATACAATGACACACCGAGTTTAATCAAAATCGTTAGAGCCGTTTTTGAGAAAATTGAAAAAATGTGTTTCAGCGTTGATGTAAAGTGGCACTTCAGGTTAGACGATTTTAAGGGAAAAGTTGCTTTCACATCTAAGGCATATTCCTATCTTAAATACGTAAAATCAGTTTCGTACGACTTTTCGTTTTTGAGCTAGACTGAAAACATACAAACACACAGACACATAGACCATTTTTCGAAACTTGGTTATTTGGACTCAGGGTACGCCAAAACGCGTAGTTCCGCTGAAAACTCAGCTTCAAAAATTTTCACGATCGCAATAATTACCCTTACTATATATTTCATATATACGTAAGTGAACGTAATAAATAAATTTAATAAATTGCTAGTGGAAAAACATATGGTAATAAATTGTTTTAAATAATATTTGTACACATTTTTTTTAAGTACATAAAAAATGAAGTTAAATTTTTACACTACATCCAGAACTTAATTCATTAGAACTTTTATTTTAAAATCTATTTTACAAAAAATGTCTTTAATTAATCTAAAATCATTTAAGATTGATGTCAGAATGCTTTAACAAGTTCATAAGAACTTTTATTTTTAAACTTATTTTAACAAAAACTTCATTAACTAATCTGGAATCCTTTAAGTTTAATGGTAGAAGGCTTTAGCCTTGTATTATTATTATTACAATAATGACATGTCTTTGGATTTCACTGTCTAATAAACAATTTTATTAAAATATATCATTTGATGAATATTAAATATATCATTGTTTAAAGCAGACCTGGACAAACAATTTTTTTTTTCTAAAATACATCTAGGAAATAATTTTTACGCCATTTTTAAAATTGTTATTTTGCAGTATATTCTTTATACGAAAATCGAGAAATTTATTCAAGATGATTATATCTGTAATTCCAACTCAAGTAATAATTAAAAACTATAAGATTATACTTTTCATTTAACTTAACTTTTTTTTTAGTACATAAATAGATAAAAATTAAACTTTGATACTATCGCCTTGATATTTATTACAAAAAAGTTCATTAGAACTTTTATTTTAAAACATATTTTACAAAAAAAATCAATAAATCTGTTAAAATGTAACTTTTAAAAAAGTCCCTAAATTTTTTAATCCCTATTTAAAATTACTCTAATCATATTTGTCTGATCATTGTTGATAACCAAGATTATACTTTTTCTTTAAATAAACCTTAACTTCTTTTGAATTAATGTTTATATACCAAAAATTAACTAATACTTTAATATGTTTCTTTTCTTTTCATTAACAAAATAACTTTTATTTTGTTACAGAATTTAATAAAAAGTTATATTTTTATTTGTATTACCTGTTTCTTAGAATATAACCTTCCAAATATTTGTTACATCATTTAAAAAACTTATTTATGCTTTCATTTATAGTTACAATAATAAAATTTAATTTTTAAAGGAATGTGAAAATATGATGATCAATTATAAAAAATCAACTTATGATTTCATTATAGTAAGAATAATAAAATTTAATTCTAAAGGAAATTTGAAAATATGATTATAAAAATATTATGTTGCAGGGCTTGACCTTCTTCTTGAGCTATACCATCCTTGCCTCAATGCTTGGAATGCTCCAGTTCGGCTACAACACAGGTGTCATCAATGCTCCGGAAAATGTGAGTAATGTTACATATTGATGGTAGGCAATGAAAACCTTGTAACTCCATCAGTCTATGAAAACTCCAGCATTGGAACTCTAGATACAAAAACATCTCTTTATATTTGTAGTGTGTTCTATAAACTATAGGGATTTAATCTTAATACATTTTTTTTTTGTAAAACTCTTTGTTTTTCCTATAACATTTACTAAATTGGTGTTACAAGGTTTTCATTGACTACCATTAATATATTTTTATGAAAACAAAATGACTTAGTGGCTTTTATTAAATTGCTGATCATTTTTTTCAGAATATAGAAAAATTTATGCAAGATGTATATAGATATAGAAACAATAAGGACTTGCATTTGGACTCGGCAAAACTTATGTATTCTTTTGCTGTTTCTATATTTGCCATTGGAGGTATGATAGGTGGATTTATTGGTGGCATGGTTGCCAATAAATTTGGGAGGTGAGCTGATTCAGTTATGTTGTTTAAATTTTGATAATTTTTTATTGATGAATCCAGTTAAATAAATAAACAAAACTGAATTTAAACTTATCAAGTTTTAAAAAACTTGGATAATAAATAATAAATGGTTTATATTTATATATTGGTTTATATATAATATAGTAACTGAATATGGTTGTAGATGTTTCAACTAATAAGATGTTCTTTAATATTATGTATCTAATATGCATATATCATTAAAGCACATTTGCAAAACATTAATATTTCATAAAAACTAACTTTACTTACACCACTATCACTCTAACCTCTTTAATTAGTGATAAAGGAATCAGTGAGTCAGAACTTTTATTTTTATTAAACAGTTTTTTAAATTTGATGCGTGCTTTTATCTATTATATATAATTAAATTTGATGCGTGCTTTTATCTATTATATATAATTATATTAACTACATCAAGTTCAGTAATCACAACAATAGATTTTTCACTTTTATGAGGGTATTGTTTTAAATGGAAATAACTTTTCAATTATCTATAAATCATCACCCAATTTTGCTCTTTAAATAAGATATAATGTATTCTAAATACACTTGTTCATTCTACCAAAGACTGTCACCAATAGATTTGTGTCTATCGATTTATCTTGATATGATAACAATATCATTTCTGATTATTAACACATGATATATTGATTGTTTATTAGTGGTATAATTTATTATAATTATTGATAGATGTCTGAAACTATATTAAATAGTAATATATAAAAAGAAGAATCGCATATTTCCATTATAATTTGTGTAATAATAATCTTTATTTGTTTTTAGGGAAGAACCCTATACAAATGGAGTCTATCACAATATAACGAACATTATTATCCTAATGGAAACACAAATTCGTTCCTTTTTATACTACATTAGAGATATTACAATACTCATAAGGATAAATTAAAAATCATATTCAGTAAAAACCAGACAGTTGAAATAGTTCTAATTATCAAATTAATATAAAATCTAAAATTTTCAAAATATACATACAATAACAATAAATACATTTTTTTTTAAATATTAATATTAAACTTTGTTTTTAAATTAAAAGATTACCCTTATACCTAAGAAAACAACCAAGAAAAAAAGACGCAGACAGATTACATGCTGATGTGCAATATGGAATTTTTGCCATAATATGCAGAGGACAATATTCCAGATTACCCTACCAATTCTCTATAATTTGAGATAAAAAATATATAATTTTCTCATATCTTCTGCAGCGGTTGGCTTAAATATTTCTACCCCATCAAGATTTTTCATACCCTGGTAAATTCTTAACCTTAAACTACTGTAAATTGGGCATTTAAATAATATATATGATGAAGTGTTTCGTTTTCTTTAGTGTTGCACATTTTCTCTCAAGTTGTGGAGTAATTTTCACAATTTTATTATTAACAAAAATCTTGATCATATATTTTCCTGAGAGGCAGATTTGCATTAATAGTTTTGTATATTTGAAATTAGTCGGCATGAACAAATACTGGAGGATCTGATCATTATTAAGAAAAATGTTTAAATGTTCACTATAAGATAAGCTATGCAATGTTAACCTTTCACCGTCCTGCAAAGGTTGTTTATATTTATTTAATATCCTGTTAATATTTCTTCTAATTATGGCTTAGTTGGTTTCATAAACTAGATTGCCTTCCCCAATAGTATCTGACAATAATTTTAGCTGAGAACACCAATTATATTTTGATAGAGCAGGATTAGCTAAGTAACATTTATTTCTTAGTTTTTCAAAACATATTTTAGGATATCTAAATTCCTCCATTTCCACAAGCTTAACTAACCAATTCAATGAACACTTCATAATATTGAAACCAATATGAGTAGACCCTGTTTCTAAACGTATTAAAAAGTCTGGGGCTGCTTTACAAAGTGAATATGTTTGTTTATAAAAATTTGTGTTGATCTTTTCTAGGAGCTCTATGTATCGAAGACTCCATACCTGGGCACAATATAGCAACGATCTATTAATAATGATTTTTTTCAACATTTCTCTAGCCTTCCAGGGGTTCGTTTTTGCTTTAGAACAAATGTTTATTACTCTACCTATTGTTGAGTTTGACTTTGAGATTGCTTTCTTAATTGCTTGCAAAAAAAAAAAAAAAAAAAAAAAAACAGACCTACAAAAGTGAACACCTAAATAATTGAATGTACTGACTGTATCAATCAGTTTTCCATCCAAATATATACTGTTACATTTATTTGGGCGCCCCCTAGTGAAATTCAAAATTTTCATTTCATAAATGTTTATAATTAGCAGTATTCATTTAGAGCATTAATTTGTTTTACAAGGTCGGTATAGGAATCAGCAAAAATATCCATGTCATCTACAAACAAGAGCAGCAGCATGTCAACATATCCGTCACATAGGTATACCTGACAGGTTAAGCATGCGAAAATATTCCTAAATATCATAGGAAAAGATTAAACAGCATGGGACTCAGTGTCTCTCCTTGTAGCTCACCTTCATTAATTTTCAACTTTTGCAATAACCCTCCTGCGGTCCCTTTTATTTGTGTGTATGCATTGCCTTATCATACATGTTTCCCATTATCGAATTATTTTCTCACTCAAACCTATATAAAAAAGTTTGTGCAATAGTAAGGTGTCATTTATGGAGTCAAAAGTCAACAAAAAGGTTAGACTTCTCTTTTAAAAATTGGTTTTGGATAACAGCATTTAAGAGAAAAACATTATCTCAGCAACTTCTCCTATTTCTGAACCCTGATTGGCATTCAGGTATAATTTTGCTTTCTTCAGTCCATAATGTTATAGGTAAAAATTTTCGAAGCACAGTTTAGCCATAGATATGTTTTAATAATTAAGTGGGTTTTCTCGGTTCTGTGGTAGACATCTCCCTGTATTTACTCCTTTAGTTGACATTGGGTGAAGGAATGAGAAGAAAGATATAATATATAGGAATGTGAGGTTGCACTGTGAATTGTACTCAATTGTGCAGTGGACAAATTGTTCATTGGAAAATCTCAGATCGATAAAGAAGGAAAAAGGTCTGGTCAGGTAGCACCAGCTGGAAGCCGACCCCAGGCACTTGAGGCTGGACATTGAGGCAGAACACATATCTGGGAAGAGAGGCTACTACAAGATTTAGAAGATCCAGTCTATAGTTATAACACTTTAATAGAGTCAATTTATTACAGTTGTAGAAATAAATTATTTTATTATACAGGAGTGGAAAGTCATTTATTTATTTAGTTGTCGTATATGCCTCACGATTGAAGAATAACAAACCAGGTGAGTCAATTCATTCAAAGTGTATTTACTTTATTAGTCCCACATTTCAGATATATATTTATATTGTTATTGTTTCTTCTCACTCAGTGTCTCAAAAGTTATTAGATTCCCGAATTCCCAACAACAGTTAAACACCCTCAAAAAGTCTATATCCAGTGCCGGGGTTTCATTTTAATAATCACGAGTGTAAATAACCTAGTTCCCCGATATAAAAGCGGAAGGCTATTCGCCTATTCCCGCCAAAAAACAAATTATTTAACAATTAACTTTTAGTAGGTTATTTACAATTGGCGCCGAACAGAAGTAAACTGTCGATGGATCGCGGGAGATTAATTAATATTTAATTTTTAAAATAAAGTTTGTTATTCCGAATTTTTTTTAATGGCGTCATGCAAAGACCACGCTAAACTATTAAAACCGTGTGTAGGTTTCGAAAAAATACGTAACCGTTTTCCGAACACATAGGAATTTTTCATATTTCTGTTTTGCACAGAAATTAATAATGCCAAATAACCCAGTCGTTAGTGAAATTGTGAGGATCGCTTTACAAACAAACATTGCTGAGATCACAAGTTGGTACCAACCCCAAACAAATGAGCAGGTAACAGGTTGGTACCAGTCCAGCCAAATGCTTTCATGGCAACCTTTTTGGCTGCACTCACATCGTTAAAACAGGCATTAAGATTGAACTTACAAAACTTAGATAAGTAAGATATCTGATTTGTGAATTGAAAAACTAGAGGAAACAATCACAAAGTCCAACCAAGAAGTTCAAAAGTTCTTAAATAAAAATGACACACTAGAGAAAAATGAATTAAAAACAAAGTTAATGTATCAAACTGCCCTTTTTAATGAAACCAAGTCTGAAGATGTCACTATTATACATAGCTCACCTATTCAAAATGGTGAACTATTAGGAAGTATTAATGATGAAAGTACTATGGAAACTAAAGATAGAGAGGATCCCTACATATGTACTAAGTATTGAAAACATTGTAGTTGATGATAATGAACATTTAGATGGAAGTTCTACTGATGAAGAAATAAAGAAAACAACTGTTGTTGGAAAGGATTTTAGGACAATTGTTATTTTAGAAGAATCCATGACCAAAATAATCATTGATAGTAAGCCACTTGGAGCTGAGAAAGTGAAAATTTATGAAGAAGAAGACACAGTAATTGAAAAGGAATTAGTGAAGGAAGATGAGTTTAGGTCTGATAACATCAACTCTGATTTGTCAGTAATAGAAGAGACTGATTTTGACATTTTAATTGAAGATGAAAAACGAGAAACTTCAACCGACATCACAACTAATGATAGACATTCTAAACCTAAGGAAAAAGTTATAGACATCAGGGATTCAGAAGAAAGTAAAGCTGATAAGGGACCTTACCGGATAAAACAAGAAATGGACGTTATAGACCCTGGTTAGGAGAATGATAAAATAATTTGTTTGGAAATGTATGGTTACAAACACAGGCTTCGTCTTATGGATATAAAATAAAAAATCAATAAATAGATCAGTAATTAAATAATAGTAATAAACAAACTTAATAATAAATAATAGGGATTAATCGTAAATTCAATTCCATGGTCGATATTAGCTAGTTTCTTTGATTAATTTTGTTTTCACGTTTAATTAGCGATAATACGATTTAAATGTTCACCTTAAACTATCCAGTAATTTTCTCTT